ATTTTCATTACTTTCACAGGTCATACCTGGAATATGCTTCTACTCCTCGACTGGGTGAACACAGAATTCAGTCCTGACAGCAAATACTTCACAGCCTGCTCCCTGTAGGTTCCTGCAGAATCTCACAGCAAAAAATTCATTTGTAATAGAAAAACAAATATGGTCAAATCTGATTTTTTGATGTTTTCTTAAGTACAAAAAAGGTCTATTTATTCGTTTTATTGTAATGTAATGCAATGTATTACAGTTACAGCATAATATAATATAATACAATTAATAAACAGATGACTTACTATTGCTTAACTTTGGTTCAAAAACTGCCCAACACTAAAGGTTTCTGCTGTAGAGCTCTCAAAGGTCAGACTTGAAAGCGTAAACTTCAGGTTCTACTGAGATAAAGGCACAGTGCTTTGCAAAGTTATGCTATTATCCCTGGTTATAATCTTCACTGACTTCAGAAATAATTGCTTTCCTCAAACAAAAAGGAAGTCTGATTCTAATTTGCTATCTAGATCTACATTCTTATATTCTTTTTATAGATGTTGAACAAGTTATCACTGGAATCTTCCTTCACTCAAACATAAGTGAAAGTTTTATCTTACTTGAGATATCACAAAAGTAATTTATGGCTAAGGAAACAAAACCTTTTGTCTCACAATATATTTCTTTGCGACAGCTGTGGTATTTCACTGAAAGCACAAAAGCTGTGATGGTCTGGACTGCAATCAACCATTTTTAATAGGAAATTTTTAAAGACTTTTAATAAGATCCCCTAACATAATTTATGGGGAGAGGTTTTGAAGTGAAGAGGCATTGTTTGGCAAAGTGTTCTTCCTCTAATCTCAGGAAATTTAAATAATTGAGTGTTCATTTCCTCTAAACTTAGGATTTCTCCTTAAAAACGGTTAAGAAAAACACCTGCTACACTAGCAGCAAAATAAGTGTATCAAGAGTCAAAAAAACCTCCATTTCTAAATGCTTTTCAGAGGCAAAACTCCACCTCAGAACCCAATATTATTAATAATGATAATGCAATACCAAATTTTCCTTCTTCAAGTCCAAATTTTTCATACAAATCTTGAATGAAGACAGCATGCTGGTCAGGGCAACTGCAGCTCTTTATTTTAACTGATACACTTAGGGGAAGAAGTGGACAAAAGTGGAGAATTTACAGATTGCAAGAAAACCAGATGAGCACCCAAAAGTTACTATAGTTACTGAAGTTATCCAGAGTTCCTCTGGCTACAGAACTTGGCTGGAAGAATAAGGATAACAGGCTTCCCCTGAGATCTCTGATATATCTTGCAAGAAGAGGCTCCAGGGCTATTTTAGCATTATTTTTCCCTTTAGCCCCAACGAGAACTAGGGAGAAAACAGAAACATAAGTAGGAAACACACTTGGATACCTTGATAAAGCTAATCAAAGCTTCTAAATATGAAACAGATTTCGTTTGGCTGTCTGGCAATTCAGATGAAGTTTTGAATTATTTTTTGCCTTTTCTGAGTAACTCATCTGCCGTAATTCTGACTCAAACGAAAAGCTGATTTAACTGTGTTTAGGTCGGCTAAAATATCTCTCCCGAAGGAGAAAAACAAAGAAAGGAGGAGAACCTTTGAAGCAAGGAGTCCTGAAGAGCTCAGGCTCCGGTCACTGCGTGTCCCAGACCTCCAGAGGGCACTGAGCACAAAACCGGCAACTCTCATCTCTCCTGCAGAGAGAACTGGAACAATAAATTAAAAAAAAAAAAAAAAAAAAATATATATATATACACAACAAACAACACATAAATAATGCCTAAATAAAATATAAATGCATAACAAATAAATATAAAACATATAAAGGTACTAATAAATATATATAATGAAATAAATAAGCAACAAACAACACGTAAATAACGCCTAAGTAAACTATGAATGCATAATAAATATAAAACATCTAAATATATACATAAATATATAAATAATTAAATAAAATAAACAACAAACAACACAAATAATTACTAAATAAACTATAAATGCATAATAAATAAATATAAAACATCTAAATATATAAAATATAAATAAATAAACAACAAACAACACAAAATAATTCCTAAATAAACTATAAATTAATCACGAATAAATAAATAAATAAAAAGTGGGTTTCTGAGGATGAATAATTCTGCCATCCCTGGGTCAGCACTTCCTTTCTGTATTGGAGAAGATTTTTTTCATCAATGCCTTTACGAAAGGGGATCAGTTTCTAGAGTCTAATGCTAAACCCTTATTTTCAAAAGCTGACTGCTGGTTTCTAAGAGCCTGCATTAAAAAAAATGTATTTTAAGATGTGACACCTGAAAGACTTTGTTTTCTTCAGGCACCACGTTCAAAGCACACAAGACAGAACGTCACTTCTTCAGACTCCACCTCTCCCTCTGCTTTGCCTCCAGAAACAAAACAAAACAAAACAAAACAAAACAAAACAAAACAAAACAAAACAATTTACAGTCGGTACCGGCCAAAATTCCTTTTTCCTCCAGCAGTTAAGTCTCGCTCGGGTGATAAGACCTTGCCCATGTTGTACAGACACACACAGAGCCTCGCACAGCCAGGCAGCCGCGGTGACAATATAATATAATATAATATAATATAATATAATATAATATAATATAATATAATATAATATAATATAATAACATAATATGTGTAGATTCTATATAACTATATAATTATATAAATATATATGTTTATATATTTACATATATATAAATATAGATACATATATAGGCACCTCTGGCTGCCCTGCCTTAACCCCATCAGGGGTTATATATAAAATGATATATATATATTATATATATATATAATTATATATATTATATACTATATAATATATATACATATATAATGCTTTATACATTAAATAGAATAGAATAGATATATATTATATATTAATATATAATAAATATAATAGATATATTATATAATATATACAGTATGTAATTAATATATAATATATAATATATAATATATAATATATAATATATAATATATATTATATAATATATATTATATGCATTATGTTATATATATTATTTCTATTTATATTTATGCTTATGGTTATGTATAAATATATAAATATATATATTTATATATTTATATATAAATGTATATAAATATGTGTATATATAATAAAATTATATATATATATATATGTATATATACACCTCTGGCTGGCGTGCCTAAAACCCATTAGGGTTATATATAATATAATAATAAAATATAATATTATATTAATATATTGATATATTGATATATTAATAGATTAATAGATTAATATATTAATATATTATTATATTAATATATTAATATATTAGTATATATAAACTCTATTTCTGAACTGGCTTCATGAACTGCAGACAGGGCTATAAACAACGGCCTCGTTTCCACAGCAATGCCATCATTGCAATGGCACTGAAAGCCGTTCCTCCACTCCAGCCTCTTTGCATGGGTACTTTCACAAAACACAGACTGCCTGCCCCCTTTGTATTCCAAGCAGCCTTCCTGATGCACAAGTTCAAACCCCAGCCATCATCTATCATCTCAATTCTTCTGGGACAAATAAAGTATCATGCAACAGACCATATGTGGATATTTCAGCAGAGTTCTTTGGAGTCGTGTCATGTCTCCTCAATGTGATGCACAGTTATTTTATTTTATTTTCATATATTCAGAATAATACATGACAAAACTTCTCTGCCTAAATAAATATAGGCACTGGGGTTGGGAGTTCCCTGTGTGACTTGGGCCATTTACACACTCAGGTAGCTCAGGCATCTGCAAAGGAATTTATTTCAAACACAGCACGGGATCTGTAGGGCACTCATTGCAGCTTGCAGGCATGCAGAATATTCCAGAATGGAAACTGGCACCAGGCAGGTGCTTTGGCACCTGAAATGTGTCCTAAACATGTGTGAAAATCTAATGCATGATGTACCCCTATCCCCCAGGGTGATGGATCCCAGTCACCTTTAGCATCATAGGACTATGTTAAGTGGTACTAGAAAAAAGTCACCTACACTTTAAAAATGTTCCAACACTCATTCTCTGAAAATCAGATCCCCTTCGAGATCAGACACACAAAGGAGAGCCCTATCACTGTATCTGTCCATAACTTCCAGGATGCTGACATCTGAAATACAAACACTGGTAAGACTATCAATCAGTCAGTATCAAAATATCCTGGTTAAAAGGTAATTAATCAGCTACAGTAGGGATAATATTTTAAAAATACTGCCCAAAGTAGAATAAGCTAATTAGGCAGGATTCATATGATGGAAAAATTGAAAGTTGGAGCATTATTTAAAAGTTATACAAGCATGTGGATTGATTAAAATTAAGCAGAGTCATATCATTTAATAAAGGCAGTGTGGGCCTTTATCAGTTACATTGTGCTCAGTGCTGTGGAGACTCAGCACCCGGTGTTAAAACCCCTGCTCTAGTTATTAGACTCAATAAATGAGTTCAGTGGTGACTTGGTCAGGTTTATAAAACAAGGTTTGCATACAGCAGCCTTTACTAACTGTGTTACTGGCTGGACAGGGTGATTTTAGAGGTGTTTTTAACCTTAACTATTATATGATTTTCTTGGCTTTCCTTGTAGGTTTTCATCACTCGGGAAGTCACCCTGTGTTCCTGCCAGAGCTGATCAGGAAACTTCTCGAGGAGAAAACACGCGGAACACACCGGGGACACCGAGGGATGGCTCCTCGGTTGCTCAATTCGAGCAAAGAAAAGGCGCCAGGCCCTTCTGGGGAACTGCTGCCCTTACTGCTACCGCGTTCCACTCCCGACACCTCCACAAGGCTGTGATCGAACGGGAAAAGCGGAAACAAGCAGCACTTGGGCTTTTAAACGGGGAGACAGGAAGGCGTCAGTGTGAGGGGAGTGGTGGGGGGCGGGTGTCGGTGCCGCGGCCCAGCCCGGGCAGTCCCAGGGTCCCGCCCGGTGCGGGGAAAGGCAGGCGGAGCGGGCAGGGCCGTGCCGGGCAGGGCGGAGCGAGCAGTGCCGAGCCGGACCCAGGGCGGTCGGAGCGCGGGGCCCGCCCGCCCGGCGCGGGAAGCGGAAGCGGCGCGGCCTGGCGCCGTGGCGGAAGCCGCTCCGCCTTTCCGGAGCGCGGCGTGCTCGGAGCCATGAGCGTCCCGGCCTTCATCGACATCACCGAGGAGGATCAGGTCAGCGTCCCCGCCGAGCGATGGGCCCCGGGCCGCGGGGCTGGGCCGAGCCGTGCCGGGGGAGCCAGCCCGGGCCGGGCCTGCCCCGCCGGGCGCTCCGAGAACTCTTCCGGGCTGTTCCCCACAGAGACCGAGCAGACGATTAGAGAAACTTGAATGTAGTGGCTGAGAGATAACGCGGCGCTTGCAGTTCCCTCTTAATGTTCCGCCTCTCTGGCACTTCGTTTTCATGGCTCCTAAGCCCTTCTTTTTATTTAGGAGAAGAAAGCGGGTTCACATATGGGCATTACTTGGGTTGTGTGGAATTCTCGGTACTGCAGGCACGGGAAGGGGGAATTCTGTGTTTGAGCTGCTGCTTTGTTATGCCTTTGGCTTTGTTGCCAGTGTCGTTGAGGTACGTATGTGTACATACATGTTTATGTACACACAATGTGTGCGTGTACACATTGGAAATGTGCAAGAAATAGACACATGGCTACCAGCCTTCAGCGCAGTTTTCAGTTGCCATAATGTCTAGTACAGCTCCATCAAGTAGCTGGTGTGAAACATCCTCAGTACAGCAGTTTGTCCCGGGGCATTTAGCTTTTTCTTCTGGTTCCAAAATGATTCGACACTGTACGAGATGTAAATGTCACAGCAGCCTCCTGGTCACAAGTGCCAAAAGTTGTATGGCCTCAGATTGTTTCTGAAGGGTTATAGTTCTGCTGGTGAAGCCCTGAGTTATAATGAACAGGCGTGTTGCTGAGGGAAGGGTATTTTCTTGGTGTTGTTTAAGTCCTAACAGTGTAAGGCAGCTCATGACATTATAAGGCTGGGCTGAATGGGGCTTTCCACCTGGTAGTGGGATGTTCCTTGCCCATGGCATAGGTGTGGAACAAGATGATCTTTAAGGTTTCTTCCAACCCAAACTGTTGTATAATTAGATTAGAAACTGTTGTGAAGTTGTGAAGACAAAGTTCTGCCCTCTCTATAGTCCCTTTGTTTATACTTTTTTTCTTTTCTGGTGAACAAGCAACTAAATGGTTTTGATGTTTGCAGAGGGAGTAAAATAGTAAAACTTTATTAGAAAGTGTCTTATAAAAACTTATTAGGTCTGCAGTGCAGTACCCAGTTAAGTGACACATTGACTTTGTGAGAAACAGCTCCGTGACCTGTTCAGTCACTGGCAAAACAGCAGGTTCAGTATCTGGCAGAACAAAAATCTGCAAGAAGTTTAAATGCTTTGACTTTGTTATTCACAAAACAACTGTTTTGTTTTCTGTGTGTTGTCTTTCTCTTTTTTAAGGCTGCAGAACTGCGAGCTTACCTGAAATCCAAAGGAGCAGAAATATCTGAGGAAAACGCTGAAGGTGGCCTTCATGTGGACTTGGCACAGATTATTGAAGTGTGTGATGTGTGCCTGAAGGAGGATGACAAAGGTTTGCATTTTAAGTCTCGTTGGTTTTGCTGTTTATTGCCATCAGTGCTTTCAAGTTGGCAGAGTTTAGAGATGTGTAGCACTAAAACACAAGCTGTGCATCCTCATAAAACTGGAGGTGCACATTTCCATCTTTGCCCTGGAATATTTGCATGTACTCTGCCCCTCCTTTCTCCAAACATCCAGCACTCTTTGAAGAAGTCAGAAGCTGAGCTAGACTCTGCTTGTAATGAGGGTGTAGAGACTTGTATGTAAAACAGAGCTTTTGATGCTCAGGTGTCTTTCTGGGGAAGAGATAATGTTTTCCATATGTAATGAATTTTCTTCTTTTTCTTTGCTTGACTGATAATTGGGCAGACTGAAAAGAAAACACAAAACTGGTGTGGTTGTGTTTGGAAAGGATGGAACACCACACTTTAAACAGGAGCTGGGGAGGGTTTGTAATACACTTCAGTGTTCTTGAGCACATTTTCCCTGTGGTCTGGGTGTCCCTGGTGAAATGTTTTACTGTGCTTGAGCACTAGGTGTTACTGTCCTCCCTGTAGAACTGTGGGCAGTTTCCTGGATGTGCAGGAGGAAGCCACTGTGTGGAACCTAGAGTTCCTCTGATTTCTCCTGTGTGCAAACAGAATTCAGAGCAAGGGTGATGTCAAACACCACCTTCTGTGTTGGCCTTAGAGTGGTAACTCTTGTCTTGCATGGAGGTTTGTTGGTGTAAGCCCACCTGAGCCAAGTGCCTGGTACATTCTGATGAATATCCAGGTTGGCATCTTGGCACTTTCTTTCTTTTACAATTCTTGCTCATGCAACGTGATAATTCTATCAAAAGCATAAATTACTATTATCAAAAGTATGAAATGCTATTATCAAAAGTATATCCAGCCCAAGGTAGCTACTGCTTGCTGCTTGCAGTTTCCACCAGCTGTATGTTTTGGTTGATGCAGATGTGGAGAGTGTGATGAACAGCGTTGTCTCTCTGCTTCTCATCCTGGAGCCTGACAAACAGGAAGCACTGATTGAAAACCTGTGTGAGAAGTTGGTGAAGTTTCGGGAAGGAGAGCGCCCGTCTCTCAGACTGCAGCTGTAAGTGTTGGGCAGGGCAAAGTGAGACACAGAAATTCTGCCTCTGAAGAGGAAGGATTTTCTTGTATGTCCTAAAATCGAAGTGTGGGGTGTTTCAGGAAGCACTCTTTTACCTTCTGTTCACTGTTATAAAATAGAAGTACCAATTTTTTTTTCCATGGGTGTTCCAAAGTGAAATTAATATGCATAGTTTTCAGCTTTGCTGAAAATGATTACAAAACTAGAAGCTGTTCCAGCTCATGGATGTAAGGTGCTGCCAGATGCTTTGTACCAGCCTGTGTGTTAAGAGAACACTGACATGCACTCAGGAATGTTTTTTGGAAGCTCTGTAACTCCGTTGTTTGTGCTTTAGCCTGAGCAATCTCTTCCATGGCATGGACAAGAACACTCCTGTGAGGTACACAGTGTACTGCAGCCTCCTCAAAGTGGCCTCGTCCTGTGGTGCCATCCAGTACATTCCAACTGAACTAGATCAGGTAACTGAGTGACCCTTCAAGCTGTGGCCTTTGTATGAACCATGCTGCACCTGAATATTAGTCAGAGCTGATCCAGACCATCTCTTACAAATTGCCAGAGCCTAGGGAAGTTGCCATGAAGCTGATTAGAGAGATGCAACCTCTCCTGTGAGGGAAGGCTGAGAGCATTGGGATTGTTCAGCCTGGAGAAGAGAAGGCTCCAGGATGCATTTTAACTTTAAAGGGGGCTCATTAAAGAGGGAGAGCAACTTTTGACATGGGCAAATAGTGATAGGACAAGGAGCAGTGGGAGCATGAGAATCAGAAAACCTTTGTGCAAGATACTTATACTCCTTTTCTGCTTGGGAGAAAATGGGGAGAATTTGCAGTGCTGTTTTAATCTTTTCCTGAATGCTTCTTTTTCACTTGTATTCTGCCTAGGTCCGAAAATGGATTTCTGACTGGAATCTGGCCACAGAGAAAAAACACACTCTCCTGAGACTGCTCTATGATGTCCTGGTGGACTGCAAGAAAAGGTATAAGAGACAAGTCATACATACTAGACAACTCTGTATGTTGATGTACTGTAGGTGAGCTGTAGGGAAAGTATTTCTCACAGGACTTGTAAAAATTAATCTGTAGTGGTAATTCAATCCAAATACACTTCTGGGTTTTTTAAAAATACTTTTAAGCATTCTTGCATTAAACCAGTGTTCCCAATAACATTAAAGTTAGTAGTGAATTAGCTGCAAACCAAAGACTCCCAAAATAACGTTATTCCTTTCTATAAATAATCATCTTAGTGCATTGTAGCATTATGCCAACTTTATTATTTAATTGCACTTTTGACATTTTAGTGCATGGCAGTGCTATCTCTTACTTAATGATGTGGGAAGGCTTATCAATCATGGCTAACAGAATCAGTCTTTTTATGTAAACATTACCTTCAGGACAGCTTTCCACTAGTCATGGAAATTAATGTCCACAGAATACCTGCTTGGCCATTTTGAATTATTATCCTGGATCATAAGAAGCATCTTTGATCTAACAAACTTGGCAGACCACTGTCTTCTGGCATGTAGAGTAATGCAGTGTGTATGGTGCCTGCAAACTAATGCAGGTCTGAACTGAGAGCTGTCAGCAGTTTCTCTTACAGAAGTGATGCAGTGGATTGACTGCCCTGGCCAGGGCTGCAATGCTGGGCTGCTGTCCAGTGCTTTGGGTGTAGTTCCACAGCAGCTCAAACCTACTTAACCTGTCCCTGCACTTTGGGATGGGGATGTGGGAGGTGTGTGTTGCTTCCCCCTGCCCTTCCACTCTGTTTTCTGAGTTATTTTTTCAAGGTTTTTTTGATTTTCATAGGGAAGCAGCATCAAGCCCCTTCCACTGCTGACCCACAGTGTACTTGTGCATTTTCAGCATTTGCATAACCTTGCAGTGCTGCAAAAGGAAATTCTGTCCTGTAGCCTCTGTTCCTGTCCCTTCCAGCTGCCAGTACCTCTGTGTGTTGGTGCTGCTGTGGCATTTGTGTCACTGCACAGGGGCTTGGCCTGGGGACATGACCTTGCTGGGGGTTTAAAAAGGCAAGTGTGAAGCTGTCACAGGTGGAGAAGAGTTCCACCTGTCAGGACAGTTGGCTTATTGTGGCCTGGAAATGCTGCATCAGCATAGCAGGATCATAACCTCAGTTTAGGGATGACTAATCCTCATGGAGTAGTTACTCTGTGAGCTACATTACTGGGAATTCCTGTTTGTAACACTCAAATGCTTTTGCCTCAATAGTTCTGTATGGCAGATTTCAGATGGAATTAGGTCAGAAATGTTAGTCACAGATCTTTTCCATGGCTTAGTGCTTACCTTGTTTCAGAAATATTACACTGATGACATTCCTGCTCTTCCTCACTTCCCATCCTGTTGATTTATTGTGATATTTGAACTGCTTTCATTCCCAAACTTAATAGCCAACTATTTTTAGCTAGTCTTGCTATCAAATCAGGGGATTGAACTTCTAGTTTTTATTTCCACTGCTACCAGTAACCTTGCTACTAAATGGTTTTTTGCTTGCTAACCATAGGTGACTTTTTAAGACAGCAAATAAAACCTTCCACAAACGCTGTGAGACTCCTGCCCTCGGTGTCCAGGCAGTGTTTCAGGGCACTTGCACTTCTCTCCAGAAAAGAAAACAAGAAGTGACCCTGGCACCTTTGACCTGGTTCAATCTCCTGGATCAGTGGGCAGTGTTTGCAATAGTATGGGAAACTCACAGCAGCATTCCAGCTGTAGCACTCAGGAATGCTGCTCTATCCTGCAGTATGGGAAGATAAGTGGGAACTGAAAAGTACCTGATAAAAATCATACCTCAGTTATTGTTGATTTATAATCAAGGGAAAAGAACTAGATTGTTAAAGACAATTGAATTCTTTTGTTTGCTTGATTTCTGTTTTAACTTTGGTCAGTGTGGCAGAAGAGATGGTTTTCTGTAGCTAATTAGACTTATTTCCAGTGGATCTCCAGTATTGGTAATTAATAGATTGGTAGCTCCTAAAAAGAAAATGTGCAGAGGTTGTGTGGTGTCCCTTTTCCTGCAGTGACAAGTGAAACTTTCTGTATCAAACCTTTTCCAGCCACCTTGGTGCAGTTTAAAGCTGGGCTCTGCTGGCAGGACTCAGCAGCTTTGGCCCTGCCCAAGTTAAATTCAAACAGGTCTGGCAAGTCTGGCCATTAATCCTTGTAGCAAAAAGCTCAGCATGTCAGGCACCTGCAGAGTAATTGTTTCATTTCATTTTGGTTCAGTTTAATATCATGTAATGTAGAGGGACTCAATTCCAGCATCTCACTAAGTCTCTGAATGCTCTGCTGTGGTTTTTTTGTTCCTTTTATCTGCCATCACTCTTAAGCTCTCACTGGCTTTTTGTCAAGTTATGCATCTAAAGTGGCAAGTGGAGCCAAGAGCACTTATTCAGGCTGTTTTACTCGAAAAAATGTTCACATTTGCACCTAAGGTGAGACACAAGCAGCTGTGGTAAATAGTGATCAGTATTAGTGCCTAAACAGCCTCATTTGCAGTAGGAATCTGACACTGAATACAATACAAGACTGCCATAGAATATAAAGGCTGCCATATTTGAATAAAATAGAATGTAAAGGCTGCCATATTTGCTGAGGTTCACAAGAATTTAGCACACAAAGTTTGGGAGTAATTGTCTTGTAGCATTCTGTTGGTTCCTAGAAAGAGAAGTGAAAAATTCCACTCTTTCCCCACTTAAAAAAAAAAAAAAGGCAGGGAATTGAAAATACTGTTTGAATTTAGTTAAATGATAGTTTTCAATTTTTGCTGCTAAGGGAAAGATTAAGAGAGGAAAAAAGGTGCCAGAAAACTGTAAGACAGCTCTGAAGTGCACAAGAACAACTGCTGAAAAGCTTTCATTAAATAAGGAGTTGTGTATTAGGTTGAATAGCACATGAGCTGAGCCTCTCTGATTAAATATCTGTATGTTGCCATTCTTGTATTAAAGTGGTCCTTTGTCTCCTAGAACATCTCATTTTGGTAAGATTTCACCAGTGCTAAAATCATAGTCAGTCACAGACTGATTTACATGCAAATGCTGCCTAAATTAATTTTTTTTTCTTTTCACTGATACAGAACTATGGGTTGATCTAGGTCAGTATTGGTCCTACATAAGCTGACCTCTTTAATGCTGGAGTTCTAAAACAAATGCTTCACTAAAGCTTATATCCCTGAATATGGTTCTGGAATGCTGGGATCTATAGAAAATGCCCCTGCCTGGGGACAGATGTACATCCAGATTTTGTATGATACTGGGTATTGCCCATCATGTCTTAATATTTGTGCTGCACATCTCTCAGATCTGGTCAGTTCTCTGAGAACAAACTTCACCCTATGGAGTGGCTGTCAGGCAGTGGGAGGGTGAGATTTCAGATAAATACCCATATAAAGACACTGTTCTTGTCCTGCAAAAACCATTCAGCCCCGTGCTGCTGTATGGGTGAAACCTCTGGCACAGCACAGAGCATACTGGGCATCTTGTGTTGGTTTGTTCTTCCCTGTGCAGGTGATGCCATTGGCCTAAGTCACTAATGCAAATGGAAATTTCATTCTCCCAGTGTTTTGTTTTCAGGAAAATTGTGTGTGCTTTTAGAGCACGTGGGATAATTTGGTGTAAATTTTGCATCAGCGGTTGCTGGCCTTGGTAGTGGTAAAACTGTGAAGGGAAAATAAATCAAAATCTGTTAAAATGACCCAGTAACAATCTCAGAGCTGGTTTGCAATAGTTTTGCTGTTGTTTACAAGATTATCTGGATGGACAAGGCTGTAGGTTTGCTCTGAGAAGGAGTTGTTTGTCCAGGAGCTGTCTGTCTGTCAGAGCAGTGCTGGAAGCTTCACAGCAGCCTCAGCCACTCTCACTGCTGGCTGCATAATTTCATCAATAAAATGAGCAGCTCTCACTCAGAATACTTGAAGAGAGAATCTGTGAAAGAAGAGAGCAGCTTTTATACAGTCATTTTCCTGACCATAAATATTCTTTAAGAGATGCCATTTTACATTTGAAATAAACTTTGCAGCGCTACTTATTGCGCAATGATTAAATCCAGATGTGCACTAGAGGAGCATTCTAGTGAACCATATAAAGCTGTTCCTAGCTCAGAAAGCTTTTTCCATAACCAGCAGGTAATTAATCAGTTTAAGAGAATGAAATGAAGGGTGAAGATAAACATTTTGTAGAACAAGAATTGAAAGAATACATCCAGCTAATTTGTTCTCTCCACTAGAATTAAAAGGGATCATCTCCATCTTTTTCAAATGTGATTTAATTTGACCTATAACATCATAATGGAATTATTTAAATATTTGAGTGCCTTGTTTGAACTATTTTTTCAGCAATCCTGAGGTAACTTAATTTTTTTTTTTTCCATAGTGACACTGCAGCAAAAGTGATGGTGGAGCTGTTGGGAAGTTACACAGAGGACAATGCTTCCCAGGCTAGAGTTGATGCTCACAGGTAAGACTGACTTCCCAGTTTCCTTAAAATAACTTTTCCTCAATTGCCAAATGATTTTGATCCCCATACTGTTGAGAGGTTCAAATGGCCTGGCAGGCCAAGGGCCCTGCCTGGCCTCTTGTGTGGCTTTGCTGACTCAGTCAGGAGTTTGTCTCTGCAGTCTGCTGTAGGTCTGGCTGTTTGTAGGCACAGCTTTATTGCAGTGTGCAAGGGCACAGGAGAGTTCCTGGTCACTGCTGAGAGAGATCAGCCTTGGGTAAGGACTTGACATCAGCTGTGCACTCAAAATCTGTACTGGAATCCTTTTTTTCAGATGGTTTTACTTTTTGCCTGTTTTATTATCTGACTGTGAGCATTCTTTTCAAAGAAAGAACATTGTTGCTGTGTTCTCTATGAGCAAGTCCAAAGGATGTGAACTGCACAGAAATAAGCTTAACTGTTGAACAAGCTGGGACTAAACTGATCCATAACAGTGCATTTTCCCCACTGGCCAAAATGAGTAAATGCCTTTTGAAGTTCTAACCATCGTGGTTTTTCTTAGGAATGAGTTCTTTAGGTTGTGCCAGATGTGCACTACCATTAGTTCTGAAGGGAGTTGTTTACACTTAACCATGGAGGAAAAGCAGGATGACTCCTTTGGAAAATGAGTGTCTGTGCCTCAGGGGGACCTTCCCTGTGAGAACTCGTGTGCCCAGGGCTGTGTCTGTGCAGAGTTCAGGTTCTCTGCTGTGGCAGAGCCAGCCCAGGCTCCCGATGTGCTGCTGAGAAAAGCTTTCTTTGAGTTCCTGCTTCTAGGCTGCAGCTGCAGCTGAGAAATCCTGGGCTTTACACTGTTAGATGTTGGGTTTTTTTCTGTGTTGTGTCATGTATTCAAGTAGAATTAAATCTTCCAAAACAACTTAATTCTGTGAAGTTTTAGGAGCACAGTAGAAGTACCTTTGTTCCTCCTAGGAACAAAGGCTATGCTGGAAATAATGCATAGATGAAAACTGTAGGCTGATCTGTGGTTTGACCACCTGGCACATTTCATTTGGAATACTGGACAAACTACTTTAATGCTTCCTGTTCCTTGGTTTTCCCATCTGTAAAACGAAGTTTAAAACTGGAATGTGACATTTGTTACTTCTAATAATAATTGAAAACCCTTGTTTCCTAGAAAGCAAGGAAGGACAAATTGAGTTCTCTTATCATAAAGATGTGAACTGCTTTGAAAGTAAGCATTTTCCTTTTCTCCTCAGATGTATTGTACGAGCATTGAAGGATCCAAATACCTTTCTCTTTGATCATCTTCTTGCCTTAAAACCAGTCAAATTTTTGGAAGGAGAACTTATTCATGATGTAAGTAACTTTGTTTTTAGTGAGATGGTTTGATAACAGTAGACTGCTTTGTTTTAATGTGTCCTTGAAATCCATTAGAACAATTATCTGTGTCAGTAATCCTGAGCTGCAATGTGCTATTTCTTTTACAGTCTTTAAAATTAAAATTGCATGTGAAATGTTTCCCTTTCAAAGTTTCAGAACCTCAGTTACAAGTCCTGCCCTTGAGTTCTGTAGCAAATCTTAAGTCTGGGGAAAGGAAGTAAGCTCAGCACAGACTGCCCACATCTATTGCCAGAAGGCAGAATTTCAGCTCTTAACAGCTTCTTTTTCTGTTCAATACCCAGTTTCTGTCAGTATCTGTCCAGCCTGCAAAGAGGGAAACCAAGATAATATTTAAACTGTTCTCATGTTTGTTTTCCATCTTTTAGCTTTTGACAATTTTTGTAAGTGCTAAACTAGCGTCCTATGTCAAGTTTTATCAGAACAACAAAGACTTCATTGACTCCCTGGGTAAGTTTTCAGATCATTACATTTCTGACTATTTACATGGTTAAAGGTGTGGAAGCCACAGAGTAATTCAATTTGAATCCATGTATTGAAGCAAGGAAATTTCAAAACAGATCAGTTTGTAGATGATAACCTCTTGTAGACTGTGAGCTGGCCATCTAACCATGGTTTGTTCTCTGAAAACAAGCTTTTATGGTTTGGAAGAGAGGTTTAAACAAGGTTTATGGGTTTGGAAGAGAACTGTGGTTTTACCCACTGGTTTTTTCTCTTAGAACTCCCCTCCTGAAAGGTTTAACACATTCATACACCAGGCTAGGCCAGAGATCACAACTGCATTGAGGAAATCACCAGCTTGTATAAATCTCTTTTTTTTTTTTTTAACGGTGAATAACTTTGTAACAGCAAATACCTCTGAGCAGTGAGATAAAGCATGCAAATGGTGTGTGTGTGTGTGGCTGCCTGTGCTGATGCATTAGAGCCAGCAAGCCACAGTCTGTCCCAGTTAATTTGTTTCATCACATGAAGCAATGTGATGGAATGTTAATGTCAGCACCCTCTTTATTTACACACTGTGGAAAAAAGGAGTAGTAATTAACACTTTGACACTCCCCCGTTGATGTGTAATTGACTGTTTCAAAGGAGCACTGGTTCATAAGCTATTGCATGCATTAAAATTACGTTTTTTATATTCCAGCTTTTTAGGACAGGGGTCAGTGACAATGCAGAAATTGCTCAATGATGCAGATTTTTTTATTACTGCATTAAGGTTTTGACATATTGGTAATGAATAAATGTTTCCATAAAAATACGATATTTTTTTTATAACTTTGATTTTCAAATGACACTTAAACACTGCCTTGGATGTATGTGAGGAAAGCCATAGTTTTGCTAAAACAGAGTTTAGTGCAGCTTTTTAACACGTGCATTATTTTGTTTAATGGAGTGTGATGCAATTCTTAGAATAATTGCTCTCAGAGCTTTAAAATGGTGGTACTTTGGGTATTAAAATGATGGAAATACCAGTGGGATTTTTTGGTGAATATAGCAGCAAGTTTTTGGTAGCCTGTAAATGTGTCTGTATAGGAGAAGTGTATCTTTAGTCACGTGTATCTGAACATTACTTATGTTCAGAGATACATCTTATGCTTTTCTTTCTCAGGGGAAAGTGGGTTTGGGGTTTATCTTTTAGGTTCTTGTTCACAGAAGTATTTGCTGAAATTGCTGTTACACCAACATTTGAATACATTTATGGAAGATCAATTGCACATCTATGTAGCATTAATTGTATTATGTTCAGTTGTTGTGGCTTCTTGTGCCTCCCAGTGTCTGTGCTTCTCTCCATGAATTAATTCAGTGTGAACTTTCAATATATCTAAGATTGATAAAATCTCAGTAAAATCCTTAGATACCTGTGCAACTGTTTGGAAAGACAGTCTTACCTTCCACTTATGCTGATTTCTCTGTGGTGTGCCCAGAACCTCTCTGTGTCTTTGAGCAATGGACAAGCAGAGATTTGGAAATGCTGGGAACCAAGTGGCTCAGCCATGGTTTGGATAAACAAAGGCAGTTTGGTCTAGACAACAATGCAGTTTTAAGATGAGGCATTCAAAAATTATCTATTCATAAATGAGATTTAGAGATTTAAATCGGATTTAAACCGTGCTTTAGACATTTTTTAAAAAGTAACTTGCCAAATTTTAAAGGCTGTTCAGAACAGGATTGCAGTGGCAGTAGAGCATGGGCTGTAGTTGTAACCCTTCCTGGAGCAGGACCAGTCAGAAGTGGCCCAGGAAAGCTGTGCAGAGCAGGCTCCCACAGGCAGCATCAGTTTGTTACAATTTGTTGTTTTATTAATGCTGACAACTTAGGCCAGCAGTAGCATTATCTGTGTCAACTGCATCGCCCTAACATGGCCACAGTTAATCTGGCATTATCAGCAGTCTTCTTCGCAAAGTTAATCAGCATCTCATTTGCATTTGTTAATTAGGGTTAATGTGTGCTAATTGATTTTTTGATGCTTGTAGGGTTCCATTAAACCCAGTTAGGTATAGTTGCTGGTGCTCCTCATTCGTATGAATTATGGTGATCTGGTTTTTGTTGAATCAGTGCCAAATAGGGAACCTGCATCATAATTACAGCTAATTAACACAACATGATGTCCTGCACTAATGTGCTTCCCTGCTAGTGTATGGGTGTTATAAATTCCAAACTTACATATTTACTGAAGCTGTGGGGATGTTTATAATGTCATTCTAGAACACGAAGACTGACACTCATTTTTAAGAAACTTCCACTGGATCTTAGTTGGTACCTCATGGACCTTGGCACTAAGAAATGCCTTGTTTCATTTCAGTGCCTTAACTTGCTTGACCTAGATGTTTTTCCAGGAAAACGGTCTCTGATTTAGGCATGCAAGGCCTTGGCTCAGTTCCTTGTGTTGGCATTTATGCAGCCATGTAAAAGCTGTAGCCTGACCTCTGTATCCATTCAGCTGGATTTAAACAGCAAGTTTGAGCCACACTGGGTGCTTACATGAGCCTCATGATGCCTTTTCTGCTGTGGACAGACAGATTCAGTAGCAAAATGCTTTCTTCTGGAACCATCACTGTGAGATTCATTTTCCAGAAATCACAGGAGGATGAGTGGTGAGGCTCTAAGAAGATTTCTGGCATAACTAGCTGTGGATTCTCCATTTTGTTGCATTGCTGTTCTTCCAGGTGATGCAACTGAAAATTTCACTTGCACTCTTACCACTTCAAATTCTGTTTAGGTGATGTTTTTATTGCTCTGAACCCCAAAATTTTGTAGATAATACATTTTTGCTAAAAACAACTGAATCTTGATGAATTCACAATGGAACTTGCCATTTTAGCTAAAGACAAAGCAGATGCAGGATTTGGTATTTCACCTCAAAAACACCATTGACAATGCAAAGTAGAATATATTTCAATGTGAAAAAAAATTAAATTATTGGATGCATATATATTAAAAATATTCAATCATTAATTAACCTATCACCACTTTTCCTCAGGCTTGTTGCACGAACACAATATGGCCAAGATGAGGCTCCTTACTTTCATGGGAATGGCTGTAGAGAATAAAGAAATCTCATTTGACACAATGCAGCAGGAACTCCAGATCGGGGCTGATGATGTAGAAGCTTTTGTCATTGATGGTAAGAACTGAGGTTCTGCACACAGTGCTCATCAACAAGACCTTTATAATCTTCTCAGCTAATGTTAAATTTTAAGAACAATATTAATTTTGATTCCTCTGTTTTTTACAAGTTAAAGCTGCACAACTTCATGTTTAAAGCCAGGCCCAAATGTTGTGTTTTAACCAGTGTTTTTCTTCTCAGTGACAGGAACTGTATCTCCTGTAATTCTTCACAGGACTAATAAATTGTTTGCAGGTTTAATTTGTCATCTGGTTTTGTTTGCTGTCATTAAAACAGGATGTGTTTGTAGGGGAGAGAAGTTCATAAAATCTGTACAGGATATTGCTTTAATAGATTGGCACCAAACAATAGGATTCGTGCATGACCTTCGTATTGTTACATCATTTTGCTTTTCTGCCTACTAGACCATTAAAACCAACAGCAAAACAGATTGGGTGAACTGCTGAGTTCTTATGTTTGTATTGATCTCATTTTGAAGCATTTTTGTGCAGTTTAATTCCTTTGCACTATCATGAAACCGTTGCTCAAAACAGCATTGTTTTTTGCAGCTGTAAAGACAAAGATGGTGTACTGCAAAATAGATCAGACACAGAGGAAAGTCATTGTCAGGTAAGACAATTCTTCGTGGCATTTTGCAGAACTTCATGTGTTCTAATTATTTCACTTACATTTGTAGAATATTCTAACTAGAAGCAAGGTATTGTTCCTAGCAGTTGCTGCTAGTTAAATAGTTGCTATTTATCATAATTTTATTAAAGCTCACACTGAATGTGATTAGCTTATTTAATGAAAGAGTCCTACTTTCCAGGACATTTCATTTAATGACCTACTAGTGACAGGAATACTAATGACTGTTGTTGCTTTAAATATTTGGGAAGGCTACAGAATTCTCTTAACTGGTGAGGTGAAGCCCTTTCTAGAGAGAAAATTGGAATTTTCCTATTTGCTCATGAGAGTAAAGTAATGCTGTAGAAGAATGATTAGGTGAGTGTGACATCTCTAGTAACCTTCTCCCAATTTTGTTTTACTTCTCCAGCCACAGCACACATCGGACTTTTGGAAAGCAGCAGTGGCAGCAGTTGTATGACACTCTAAACACCTGGAAACAAAATTTGAATCAAGTGAAAAACAGTCTCCTCAGTCTCTCAGACACCTAAGATTTTTTTTTTTGACCTAGTAATATTGCTATAGATGAACTTTATTCAAAACTTTGATAATTTGTGAATGTTTCCAAAAAAATGTATGCAATTGGCCTAAAGAAGCTAAATATTCTAAACTGCCACACCAAGAAAGAAAAAAAAAAAAAAAGAGGCAATAAAACTAACATGGGAAAATGTCTTCTGTTGATTTTCTTACATAACCAGCAACAAGAAACTGACAATATTGGTTATGTTTCTTTTGTTCATTTTACAGCATGGGGACCTTTCTCTGCAAGAGGTGTGGGGAGGAAGGGAGGGAGGTCAGAAAAATAATAGTGCAAGTGTTTTTAAAGTAAGAGAAAATTTCCCTTAGACATAAGGGAGAAGAAATGTGACCCAACAGAAGTGAAGCTTCATGAAAGCAGATCCTGCTGCCTTATTTCTGTAGTCATACCTGATCCTTCAGTGTTGTAAGAGACCTCACTGATACAGAAACTACAACAGATAGACTTAAATCATTTTGCAGTAAAGGTGAGCAGAAGATTTTTCTGTTCTTCTGCCACTTAGAACTGCTGGAAGTATTTGTAAATGTTTGTAGAACCCATTGCATCCTGAAACAGTTGGAGGTGATTTTGCCTGAAAACTGAGTGAGTCTGTCAGAGAAAATGAATTTAACTATTTCAGCCAAAACTTCTGAGGAGCAGGAGAAGGGTACAGTTAATTATTTAATTTTACAAAATGTACATAAAAACATTAACTGATGAACTTTTTAACTTTGAGCAAAGCCAATAATAACTTGAATTTGATTGCAGAACCAGAACTAACATTAGGAGTAGGAATTGTATACATTTTGGAACACAAGAACTGTTAACATGTTACATAAACATGAAACTACACATATATATACCATATTCTAGGAATACCTCTACAATCTGGGCTAGGGAAGTGATCTGTCTGTGCCTAAAAGCCTGCTTATCTCCTGGTGCTCATCTTCACTGGCCTTCTTCATATTTTCTCTTTCTTGCTGAATGAAGTCTCTCCAAATTCAGTAATTTCCCAATTCCTCCTATTTGGTTTTGTATACTGGAGTTCCTAAGAGAGCAGCTGTCCTCATCTTTGAGTGCTTTGTCACTTCTTGCTGGAGTGACAAAAGCAGCAAATCCTTCTTTAACCTGACAGAAAACAAATGTTAGCAGTTGATAACCCAGTGAAATTCACGTACAAAGGTTCAGATTGTTGGATTCTGCTGAGCATTAAGAGAGGAAATGTTAACAGGAAAATAAATCAATTGGAGAAAACACATTTAGTTTGAAGTGTTTGCCTTGTATTTGACTTAGAAAATTTGATAATGACAATTACACTTTTATAAACCAAACCTTAACATAAGACTTGGATCAAGAGTGTGATTTAAATAAGACAAGCTTTTATTAGAATGCAGATTAGCAAAATAAATAGCTTAATTAAAGAGTTTAATGTTGCAATTGACATTTCTATTGCTAGGCAAGCATTTGATTAACAAAACCCAAAATCATGAGGTTTATAGTGTTAACTCCCTCTCCACTTCACTGTATGGATTAGAAAGCAAACATCAGTAATGCACAGTCTGTAATAGATTGGGGTTTTTTTGTGTTAAAGATCTTTTGTTCTTTTGATAGTTTTAATTACTCTTTGATATATTACTGTTAGCTGCTTCACATCTATCCCAATCAAAGACAGATGGCAACACAGTAGGCAAACAGGTTTTTTGCCTAATGAGCAAAACCCTTGCATTTGAATGAGTTCTCCACCTGTAATGTGGGATTGTGTGGCTCCTGGGGGAGCAGCATGCAGCACCAGCAGCTCCCCTGCAGCCCTGGCTCTGTGAGCTGCAAGGTCACCTCTCAGACTCTGCTCCTGAGCAAGGATTACAAGAGGAGACCTTCCCCTCTGCTCAGTCATTTCTTAAATATTGGCCAACTGTGCCCCAGCCAGTTCTATGTCTTTATCAGACCTACCTTTGTTTTAGCACATTCATTTGGTGCCAAAGCTTACCTTCACTAGTGTATAAGCATTTCTTAAAGTTTAAAATATGAACAATGAAATGAATGCAAATCGTTCACTATTGCATTTGTAACAATGCAGGCTGAAGGTACTGGTACTTCAGGTCAGTAATGACTGGCATCTCCCTTGTGGTGAGGAAGTAACTTCTCCATTTCAGCAGTGAAAGTTTCAGCCTGTTAACTCTCTCATGCTTTTCCCCAAGGCCTCAGCAACAAACAGGTCATACTGCACTGCAGGCCACTAGTGAAAATCCCTATGGAATAAATAGCATGTGGGGCTGAGCCTGTCCTGTGCTGAAAACTGCATCTTTAAACTGACCTGGGAGTCCTTACTCATCCTTACTGTGGCACTTAAGCATGGACAGACTGATGTTTAAAACAGTGCTTAATATTTTTACTAGAATTTTAAGTGCACTTGTAGACTTTCTATAAATTTTACCCCTTTTTAGAGTATTGTACTGTGACTGAATGAGATTACCCAAATTGTAGAAGGCTTAAGTCTGCTCCAGTTGCAACCATACATGATAGTCAAAGCAAAGGAAGCAGCTCCCAACATGTTTATCTTGGTCATTAAAATGACAAAAAGTTGAGAACAGAAGGCATTAGAATGACACCAAGACAGAAAGGAAGGAGTGCATTATTACAGGCTGAGATTTCGTAGATTAAGGATTTGGAAAATCTAAGGTGAAACCAGCAAGGCACTGTTCTTGTCCATCTCTGCTTTTTCTTAGCTAGCAGAGCAGGAGCTTTAGTTTGGAGGTGACAAAGCAGACACAGCCACAACCAGGTAATGAAACACAGCTTTGCTTCAGCTGTAGTTACTGGTGGAGTTCACTCAGCTCCTGGTTCCACCTCTGAGAAAAAGCAAGAGACACACAGTAAATACCAGCACTGTGTTTGGTTTAAAATGCACCTCAGTGTCATTCACAAGTAGAGCCAGGCCAGGAAAGTTGTGTAATTTCAAACATCAGTCTTGTGAATGTCAGGGATTGTGGATGGCATCAAAACCTGATTATCTGCTGGTCAGCCAACTCTGTCACCTGAGACCATTGTACACCTCATCCAGAGACAGCCCTAAATACCTGAGAGATAAAAATACCTCTAGAACCTCTTCTAAAAAGGAAAGGTCAGCTGCAGCTGTAAATTGTTGTGTCACTTTTGAACCATACATTCAACACTGGGTCAAATTCTAATAGAGCTGTTCAAGCTCCAGAGTCTAACACAGATCTGAAAATGCAGTGATGAGGCATTGGGAAAAAACAGGTTTTTACATGTTTGTGTAATGTTACCCTACAAAATAACATTACTCTAAATAGGGCATCACGTAACTACAGTGTGTGATAAATGGATAGGCTCTAATTCACAGATGTGCTGAATTTTTATTCTTCCATGGATTCTTTTAAATTACATGGTTTTATCAAGTAATAGAGGAAACAATGTTTTTATACTTTTACATTCCACTATTTTCCTTTTTTTTTTTTCTTTAACTTCTACTTTTACTGTAAGTGATGATTTTTATTAGGGTGCACAATAGACTAGCCTCTTCCTCCCCTCCCAAACAGACTGGTTAGCATCTGTTTGATTCATATGCTGTGACTTTTTCCTGCTGCTTTCTATCAACCTTAATTGTGAAAAATGGTGTCTTGTTGCCCTTTTGATATTATTTCGGAGATTGACTCAGCCTTAAAGTATCCAGATGGGTACAGTTGTACAAATATCTGTGGAATTAGCTCACTGAGGTCTGGTCTGCAATATTTTTAATTGACTTACATGTTCTGTGGGAAAAGAAGAATCATAAAAAGCCTTTGCTGCAGCATTCCATTCTTCACTAGGCTCTCCCTGGTGGATACTGGAGGCATTCAGAGTGTTGGCAGCTCTGTTCAAACTGCTGGAACCTGATTGACAAAAAGGAAATGGTAACAACTGCAATTTAGTCTCCAGGCACTAATTGTGAATGACTAAACTGGTTTACCTCTGATCTTAAAAAATCAAATATTTTTGTTTTAAATCCCTGGATCTTTGTTGTAGGCTTTTGCCCTTCATTTTTTTTCTTTCACATGCTTCATTTATTTTTTTCTCTAAAGATGAGGTATATTTCTACTTTGATAAAAAATGTTTTCTGTCATTTTCACATATTAAGTTAATGACAGAAAAGTGATTTATAGTAAGTGTATGTATTCTAAATATTCTAACTGAATATGTTTTTTCAAACACTATTACTTTAAACTGACTGTCTGACAACAATAATAAAATGCATAATTAATGCCATTATAACATGATATTCCAGGGTGACTTGTAATAAAAGAAGACATGAATACAAAGCCTTTCAGATGATCAGAAACCATTTTTAATGAGGAGTCTTTGTGTTAATGGCTCTGATATTTCAGGTGGTCAGGCAATAGCCACCTACTAAAGGTAGGAAAGGCAGGTGAGCAGATCAATTACAGACAAGTCTAAGCCTCCAGTCCTTCAGAGGCTCCATGCAGCAGCAGCACATTCTGCTGCAACCAATACCAAATTCCTTGCAAGGTGAAAGCACCAGGATTCTTTCACAGTTCCTCACAATGCAAACAGGAGCTGTTCTGCCACTGCACAGATGCCTGTGGATCACTGCATTGACAGTAAAACCTTGTTTTGCTGTGAAAATGCAGCTACCTCATGGTCATGTACCAATTATTTCAGAATCCTGACATTTTCTCTTGGGAGGAACAGGAAAATGGTTATGTGTTTTTCTTTTTTAAGCATCTGCCAGGAAGATCTTTCCCATTCTCAGTTCATTCCTTCATTTACTGATGTGGAGTGTCTGCTTTCTGGGAGCCAGCACATAACTAGTAAACTGCACTGCGGTTAGGCAGTAAAAGGAATTCCCTCAGACAGATTTACTAAACTCTTTCACCAATTCTCTTCAGCTCTTGCTCTCCCATATGCCTAAATGGGTTGTGCTCCAGTCAGTATATAGTACAGTATACAGGATATAATAAAAAAGATTTAAAATGTAGGTCCAGTGCTCACAGGGATTCCACTGCAGGTCTGCAAACACAACAGCCCAAACCCCAAGCACAACAATCACTGGGAGCTGCAGTGACTTGTGGGAGCCCTCACAGGGAGGCTCTGCAGCATTCCCAGACGGCAGCAGCCTCAAGGAG